TGCAGCCCAATAAACCAATAATACCCTGAGCTGTATCAAAAGAAATATGGCCAGTAGAGAGGAGATGATTATTTTTCCCTTCTCCATGAGACTCCACTCTCATGAGACACCCCCTGCAGTACTGAGTTCAGCTCTGTGACCCTCAGAACCAAAAGGACATTAACCTGCTGGAGTAAGTCCAGAGGACGGCCACAAGGATGATAAGAGAACTGGTGCACCTCTCCTGGAAAGACAGTTTGAGAGACTTGGGATCATTCAACATGGAGAAAACTCCTGGAAGACCTTACAGTGGCCTTACAGTAGCTAAAAAAGGCCTACAGAAAAGAGAAAGAGGGACCCTTTATTGGGGTCTGTGGTAATAGGACAAGAGATGATGGTTTTAAACTAAAATATAGTAGATTCAGGCTAGATGTTAGTAGGAATTTTTTACTCAGAGGGCATCAAGACACTGGAATATGTTGCCCAGAGAAGCTGTGGATGCCCTACCTTGGCAAGCGTTCAAGGACATGTTGGATAGGGCCCTGGGCAACTGGAGATAGTGGGTGGCCCACAACAGCGAGGACTGGAACTAGATGATCTTGAAGATCCAACCCAAACCATTTGATGATCCTAAGAATATCGTTTTACATATGCCTGTATTGAATTTCATCTCCTGCTCAATTGCCTGCTCATCCATTATCATAAAGTCTTTCTGCAATTATTGAGTCAGCTTCCCATTTTCCTGAATAACTTTCTAAAAACAGTTAATTTTCTCATCTCAATAGTCAAGCTCTATTTATAGGTCTTTTGGAAATATACTGAACAGCACACAGTTCAGGTCAGACCCTTATCATGGCACCAATGATACCTTCAATTTGCTATAAAAAGTGGATATTTCTACTTTCCTTTCCCTATTTTCTACAAGTTATTCACTAAAGAAAAATGCCACCTTCTCTTTTATGTCATGGATTTGTCTTAAATCCTTTCATGAGGCAACCTTGTCAAATCCTCTTTTGGAAAACCAGCTCTCTCTTGTCCACAAACTTGTTAAGTTGCTCAAAATCTGCAGGCTTTTTTACAACACAAGATTTGCCTTTACAAAAGCAGATGCTGACTCCTTCTTTGATGTCACAGTCGTTGCCTTCTCTGCTGCCTCTTGCCCAGATGCCAACTTTATGGTCTGTGCTTTCTTCACATTTGGAGGCTTTTATTTTGAACTCTTTTTGAAAATCAGCACTGCATTTGCCATTTCTAATTCTCAGCACTGAGACAGGCAGTCTTGCAGTTCTTCCCAGAAGTACATAGCAGTGAAGGCCATCTGGTCCTAGGGAATGGGCATATGGACCATCATCCTATAACCTGCCGAGGCTAGATGCTCAGTCAGGTTATGTGACCACCTGACAAGGAGGTTCTATTCAGACTAGTGCAAATTGCATTTCTTTACTCCATACCACTGCAGTACTCAAAACAGGATGCCCATTTATACTGATGGTAAAGACTGCATGCCTTGCTCTTCCATAGAGAAGAATTAAAACAATCCTAGCAATCACAAATTGCTAGGATTAAAAAGGTCAACCACTTGACAACCCTCTCTACAAAAACATTTTGAAATGCTCCAGCTTCACAGCTTGCAGAATAATTGCAGCGGGCTGGGCATCACAAACTGTTCGCTCATTATCAAAGTGAGGAGGAGCAATGGTAACAGCAATAACAAAAACACTGAAACTCTAGTCCTCCAGCACCTTGCTTAAGGTGTATTTTTACCATGTGTACCCAATTCCTACTGCCAGTACCATTGTTTCCCCCTTCCCCCCCTTCCCCCCCCCCAGTTCTGTTTTCTTGCCTTAACTAACACACAGAGCACTCACCCACAGGATGGCATTGGGATCTTGACACGCAGATCCCCACTGATGGGGGGTTAACAGCAGCTGTTGGAGGAAGTACCACACCCCTAAACCAGGGGGTCCTACAAGAAGAAATAAAGCAGGATTGGAAGTAGCGGAGGTGGACTTGTGCTCTGCTGCCATGGCTGGACGATCATGGCAGTCGGTGTCAAGGCTCAGGAAGGAGCAGCTGATGGGTTTGCCGTGCGTCCCGTGACTCACCCGTCTGATGCACACAGGCAGGATCCTGACTGAGCTCTGTTTGTTTCTGGGTAGACTAAAGGCGATAGCTCCAGGCTAGGCAAAAAGCAGGCCCCAGGTAGGCAGAGGGCTTGGTTTTCACCATTTGCAAAACACTTCCTGGGCTGTAGTTAATAAATAACCAGAGGGGTGGGGAAAGGCCAGGCTGGGAGAAGTAGGTAGAAACGGAAGGGATGGACTGCTCTTCCTATTTCCTATCCACTCTGCTCACACCCTCTCCAGCTACATTCCTACCTGGTTTGTAACCAAGGCACAGAAGGCAAAACCCAACACAGCTCTCGCAGCCCTAGCTTGCTCTCCCAGCCTGAGGTGGCTGGGAGCTCTTCTTTGCTCTCAGCCCTTCCCAAAGACCCCAGTGCTTCCATGGGCAACAAGCACATGTACCAGAAGGCTAAAATGATACATTTGTGTGCCTTCCTTCATAAGGTGAAAATAACAAAACTTCACAGCAGGGAGAGCCCACTTCTCTCTCAGTCTCAGGAAATGGAGAGAAGTTATACATTGTCTGCATCCAAAATGGGCAAGCACAGCCCTCTCTCTCTATGCCAGTCCTTGCTACATCTTGTTGCCACTTGTATCTCAATGTCTGACAAGTTTGACCATCCATTTAGGCAGAAAACAAGAATACAGCCACAGAAGCTCACTGTAGGAGTGTATGGGAAAGTGTATGAATTAGCAGTACTGACTGTTGGTGACAGTGGTCTTAGCTGCATTTACATCACTGGACAGCATCTTAGAAACAATATAGTTTTCAGGAATATGTTGCCTAGTACGTTTCAAGTAGCACATCTGTAAATACTTGTTCTTGCAAAGACATTTTGACAAGTTGGAGAGCTGGGAAATCACCAACCAAGTAAAGCTCGACATGAGCAAATGCTGTATTCTGCACCTGGGATGAAGCAACCTTGGATCTACGTATAGATCAGGGGAAGAGAGGGTGGAGTGCAGCCCCACTGGAAGGGATCTGGAAATTATGGTTAACAGCAAGTTGACTCTGAATCTCACAGAAGCATACAGCTCCTCATGAGGGGAGCAGAGGGGCAGGGCTGAGCTCTGCTGTCAGTTGGCAGCAACAGGACCAGAGGGAATGGCATGGAGCTGCATCATTGGAGGTCAGGTTGCTGGTTAGGAAAACGGTCTTCACAGGAAGGTGGTGGAGCCCTGTAACAGGCTGCCCACGGCCCCAAGCTGCTGAAGCTGAGAGTGCTGGGATTTTATTCTCAGACATCGGGTTTGAATTTAATTAGGATAGGTTGTGTGTGGATCCTGGGGGTGGACGCAATGACTCTCATGGACCCCTTGGCATACACTTATACTATTCTGTGATTCTAGATGAGGCTTGGCATCTCTTTAGCAGCATTAAGAAAGAAAGGGACAGCTATAAAGTGTTGTGCTTTCATACTAAGGCTTGCATCATCAAGTGCATTTTCTGCAGAACTCAGTACATGCCTTGTACAGTAAGCTCAGGTCTCACCACGTATGAGGTGGGCAGCGCTCTGACTGCCCTGCATCAGGAAGAAGGACCTATTCCTGCAGTGCTCTGCACCAGTTTATTGTCCATTCATTAGCCAACGAGGGCACTTTCAAGACGTCTTTTATTCACAGCCAGAAACAGAAACATGCACGAAGAAGCCGGTTCGTCTCACGCCATTATCTTCCTCGTTTAAACCGCTGTTTCCCGGGGCTGGCTGAGCAGCACAGCAGACAGCCCCGGCCGGAGCCCCGGGGACGGCCAGCACCAGCCCAGGCGGCGGCGTCACGAGGCGGCCACCCCGCCAATGCCAGCCCCGTGCGGCGGCAGCGTCATGGGGGGCAGGAACAGAGCCTTCAGCTTTGCAGACATGCCGGCGATCTCCGGGTCCTGCGACTCGTAGGACTTGATCAGCCGGGCGAATTTCAGCACCCCTGCGAACGGAAGGAGGGAGGGAAAGAAGGAAGACGGCGCTCTGCGGAACGAGCCCTGCCCTCCTTCCGCCGGGCCTGCCCACCTTCGCCGTCGCTGCTGAAGCCGTAGGCCTTGATCACGTCCTGCTGGATCTGCGTGGCCACGGGCAGCAGGAACTGCAGCATCTTGCCCATGTCGTTACACGCGTTCTCCCGGGCCTCGTCCATGCGCTGCACGTTCTCAGGCGCCCCAAAGGCCTTGATCACCTCGGCCAGCACCACTGCGGTGACATAAAACCCCTCACACACCGCGCCACGGCCCGCCCCCAACCCACAACATCACCGCTCACCTTTCGCCTGCTCCGCGCTAAGCGCCGGCGTCGGAGCCTGGGCGGAGGCCGCCATGGGGCCCCGCGCTGCCCCTCACCGCCAACCGCAACCTCCCGCCTTCCACGCTCACAGCGCAAGCGCCGCCGCCCGGCTGCCCCGCCCTATCATTGCACCGCAGTGTGGGGCTTCCCGCGAAGCGGGAAACCTGCTGGACAAATACTAAAAGAGCTGAAATCACTGCCAGCAGCCGCCTCGCGCGGGGGCGCGCAAGGCGCAGACCCGCCCCTAAGTAAGGGCGAGTGGGCCACTCATTCCGGGCCGCCGTCCGAGCGGCCCTACGGCTCTTCCAGGCACGGTACCGCCCTCTCCGCACTATCGGCGGCCGCCTTAGTCGCACAACAGAGCCCCGCCGCGCCGCTTTTGTCGTATGCAAATCAACCGCTTCTTATTGGTGCCGCTGCGCGCACGCCCCGCCCCTTGGAGAGGACGGGCTCGACTGGGCCTCGGGGAGCGCTGCGATTGGCGGGAGATGCAGTGCAGTGGGCGTGTCCTCCAAATGCCCCGCCCACCGCGGGCCACAGCGGCAGGCTCGGCCCCGTGCCCAGCGGGGTACGTCTGGGCGCCGAGCGAGAGAAATGAACACAACGGAGTCTGATTCTGGAAGGGTTTTTGTTTGCTTGTTTGCTTTTCTTTTTAAGAGCTTCATATATATATTTATATATATAAATTATTAGAATGTGTGGTGGGGAGTGCGTGGGGAACATGGTTGGGGCATTTTTCCATATCTGGGCCGTGGGTCGGTTTCCTTTTCCTTTTAATGGTTAAGTAAATATATATATGGGGACCGCTCGAGTTATACAACCGTGAGATCAGACACGCACGCGGGGGAAGGGGGCACACGTTGCTACATCAAACTGCCACGTCTAATAGGATGTGCATGAGTCAAAGTACACCAAGTTGGGGGGGTGAGGGCAGGGGTGCCTCTGGGGCAAACCTGGCACTGGGACCAAAGGGCACCTGCGGGCCGTGGCCATCCGTGAGGTGTGAGGGAAGCACGGCCGCGCCCAGCAGTCCCGCAGTGCTTGGTACCCAGCAGCCTGGAGCTGCCTTGGCAGCAGGGAGCAGTGCCATGTTTCAAAGGTCTTGGAACGCACTGCTCTGCATCTGAAGGGAGGCTGGAGAATGAGAGGCTGCTCAGGCTCATCTGAATAAGTTCCGTGTTGCTTTTCAGCATTGCTAAGCAGTATCTTACACCTACAGTGTGGGGGAAGAGGAGGCATCTAGAAGAAAGGCTCCACTGGGTTTGGAGGTGCGTCGTGGCTGCAGCTCCTGCTCACAGAAGCAGGAAAGGCGGCATCGTGTACATGAAGTCCCGTGAGTCCTTTTCTATTTAACACAACTGCTCCCTCAAAACGAAGGATGGAGCTGCTGCAATCTTGAATTCACACCAGTCTTTATCTTTTTGAGCTCTTTGTGATGCAGATTTTAATTCCTCCAGAGCTCTGCTGAAATCATGGACAGATCTTTTCAAGTCCATCATTGGTGTTGCAGACCCTCCCTGTGTGCTCTCCTCCACGTTCTGCTCCCAGGATGCCATTCCATAGCTCTGTCCCATCCTTTCTTGCAGTGTGCTACAGGGTAGGATTGACACGCACCACTGCAGCTTCCCCTCCCCTGGGATTTGGTTGATTCACAGAAAGACATGGGGATGTCATGTTGACAGTTGGAGTCAATTTAAAGGGGTTTGTCACTTTCCTTCTTCAGGTGACTAGGATAAAGGAGAGAAACAAGGTGATTGTGAGAAGGAAGATATAGGGAGAAATTATTTAGCGTTGCGCAAATGCCAGTTGCTAGCCTAGTCCTACATGGCAGTGCCACTTGGCACTGCAAATCCTTCATGTAAGAGGTGCTATCAAAACATAATATGCTGCACTTCTCACCCAACAAGCTTCTGAGAAAGCCTTGCCTTGACAAGGGCATCCAGCCCTTCGAATACTTGGCATTTTGGCAAGGGTATCAGTTATTCATCACTATATTGGCATGTGTGAAACAGGTTGATTTCTTGCCAAGGACAGGAGCGGAAACCCCACCACAGCCTGTGGCCAACAGCCCTTTGCTGTACACCGCAGCAAGCAACCTCCAGTCCCAGCATAGGGTCAGTCTGGAGCCACACACATATAGGGAAACACATCTCCAACCCCACTGCTTACACAGATGTGCCCCTTTCCTGGTGTTTCTGCTATGCTCAGTCCAAGTGTGAGCTTGGTGCACGTACCTGTAGTAATCCTCTTGGGTGGGGAGTGGGACTCCATGCAGAGGGTGGTGAGCATGGAGCCACTGTTGCTGCTCCAGAGCCAGGCGCTGCAACTCGGCCGACTGCGCGTGCATGGCCTGCAGCTGGTGTGCTGCCGACATGGGGGCAGAGAGAGACCCCGGCAGGTCTCTGTAGGGAGCAGCTGCACAAATAGACAAATGAAAGAATGAACAAGCTAATGTCACAGCTTCGTCCTTTCCCGTGCTCCTACAGACCAGTCAAGGCTCTATGGCACTTTCAGTCTTGCTAACATGCATTGTGCTACACCCAACCCATACCATGCCAGAGCTCTGCCTCATAGATCTCCGCCAATCTTGTGACCCCCCCATGGCTGCCCTGCCCCATGGTGCTCTGCTGATGCCCTCTGAAGGGGTAAAGCAGGTCTGAGAGCACTCTTACCAAAGAGCTGGTGGCGCAGCACTTCGTTCTCATGGAGAGGGTGAGGGAGCAGAGGGTTGGGGATGGTGCCAGCTGGGTATGGGATCCGAGTGAGGTGCGATCCCGAGGCAAGGGGGTCGATCAGAGGGTGGACAGAGGCTGAGGCTGGGAAGAAAAGATGTCAAAAGGTAGTTGTCTCGTGCTTGGTAAGTCACAAAGGGAAGAGCACAGGACGCAACAGCAAAACAGGTATGGAGCAAGTCGCTTTGCATTAGGGCTGGAATGATTTCAAGGCATGCAATGCAGTACCATTGCCTTTGAGCGTTACTCCTTTTGCCTGCATTGAATTTCACGTGAAGCCCATACTCTGCACACATACTCTTCAGAATTGGTTCTGCAAGGGCCTACTCTATTGTCTAGCCTGTACCCAGAAGTGAGATACTGTTTTATATGAAAACTGCTTTTTCCAGTGCTTTGGAGCTTCTTCCAGGCCATTCACTTGTACCCACTGCTACTCTGAACAGCTGCAGATGATTAGTGTGGGTATCTGCCTGTGACTGCCACCACATCCTGCAGACCTTTCACAGCACCTCTGTAGGCACAGCAATTTCTTTCTATTATATGATAGTATGGGCTTTGCTTCCATGAGATTTTCATTAAGCTGCTTTTTACCTTGGTATCCTGCGGAACAAAGAAATGGAAGGGGCCACACCTCCATTCTGAAGGACGGTTGCCTCCAATTCCTTACCATTCTTCTCTCCTATCCCATCCCAAGAGTGGCAGGAGCAAACTACAGAGCAAACTACAGAGCCAACATTTTCCTGGCATTAAGGATGCTTTTGAGGCTGCTGTTATCAGGGTGCCCATGCTCTCAGCAGACCCTAAGGTGAGGAATACAGCCCACAGCCCCAAAATGTGGTGGAGTCAATGCTCACATGGCATTGCATTCTAAGAGTCCCAAACTAAAAGCTGTGGTGCAAACAGTTCTGCTCTCCACCGAGCAGCAAACTCACGTGGCTTTTGCAAAAGATGACAGTGTCTTTCATGGGATGGGAGATACAACGAAGGTGACCTTTTACGGGTGAATAGGTGGGGCTGGGGCCCTCTAATCTTGCATCAGAAATATTTGGACTTTCCCAGAGGCAGATGGATGGGATGCAGCAGGAGCAGAGCACTGCTCTGTGCGGTCCTTACCTGCGTGTATGGCATCCTGCTGGTGGAGGTGTAGGTGGGAGTGGATGTGGGAATGCTGATGGTGATGAGGCGTCACATTGAGCATCTGCAGCCGGGCCAGTGGGTCATTGCTGAGAGCAGCCACCCGCTCGGCGTGCTGGCGCTCGGCCGCCAGGCGCTCAGCATAAGACATGTCAGGACGCAGAGTGGGGCCAGCTGCCAGCGCCAGCCTCTCCCTCTCCAAGTGGCCCAGCCCAGGATGGAAGGGAAAGGCGGGATGGAGACCGGGGGCCGTCTGCAGGCTGAGCCCACCATGACGTGGGAATGGATCCATGGCAGCAGCTGGCACGGCGTGGAGCTGCTCCAGCTCAGCCGGCTTGACTTCAAACCCAGGTTTGAGGCGCTCACGCAGGTCCCGGTCTCTCAGGTCTCTCTCACGGGCTTCCCTTTCCCTCAGCTCCCGCTCCCGTGTGGCTGGGTCGCTGCTGTAGATGGCCGGCACGTTGTAGCCCAGCAGGCCTGGGTCGATGGCACCCAGCGGCACGTAGAAAGGATGGTTGCGGTTGCTGGGGGACATGACGTGGGGCCGGGCGTATTCACTGAGTGTGCGCAGGGCCGGGGTGTCAGGGCCCAGGTAGGGGGGCACGGTTGCTACAGCGCTGCCCTGCTCAAAGGAAGGGCGGTGGGGGACGGGCCCCAGGGAGGAACACTCCACTGGCCGGCCCTCCTGGGCCATCTTCTGCAAGATAGCAAAGAAACAGCATCAGGATACTTGTGGCCCACCTCCGAGGTCAGCCTCCAGCATCCTCTGGACCTACCACGCTCCTCTCCAGCTCCCGCTCCTTCTCCCGTTCCCGTTCCTTCTCTCGCTCTCGTTCTCGTTCTCGTTCCTTCTCCTCCCGAGCCTTTTGCTCAGCCTCCCGCCGCACTTTCTCCACCAGGTCCGCCCTCTTCTTGGCCAGCTTGGAGCCATCAAGGGGCACGAAATACAAGTCTGTGCGGGAGCAGGAGTTGAAACCACGGTCCAGGTGCTTGTTGAACCTGGGGGCATCAAATGCAGCATGTCAGTGCAGGAGGAACGGGGACAGGACAGGGTGGGGATCTCCCTGCCCCTACCTGGCCGACTGGCTGGCGTGGCTTGGCACATCCACCACCTTGGGTGGCGGTGAGGGGCTGCGAGCAGGTGGCACGGGGCTCTCTGGGGGCTCATACTCCTCTGATGGCTCCTGCTTGATCTGGGCTGCACTGAGCGGCAGCGGTGGGGCTGCGGTGGCTAAGCTCCCTGGCAGCGGTGGAGCAGGCGGGGTGGGTGAGGCAGCCTTGTAGCTACTGGCCACAGGGGAGGATGCTACCCGGTAGCCTGGGGGGGTTGCAGCCCGGAACGGGG